CAGTAAGACATCAAAAACTGCAGCAGATTGCGCTGATAAGTTAGTGCTGAGGTTAGTGCCTCTTTTTTTGAGGCTTTTGACGTGATTTTGCAGCTCTCTTTCAAAGGCACGCTTATATTTATGTTCAGTCGTGTCAGAAAATGCAGTTAAAGTGCCACACTGGAGGTTTTTGGTGAGTTTGCTTGAGATACCATCAGCTCGTTTACCTCTTTCTTGATCTTTCAACAAGCAGCTAATATATTTGCTCTTGTTTACTTCTTCTGTGTTACTGTCCTCATTTCTCATTGGAAGCACATCTACAATTGACTTTTGCTTTACAAGGGTCCACCCTCTTGTTTCTTTATCTGGTTCTAGATGTACTAAGTGAACTTCACAAGGGAATTCATTGGACATATACTGATCTTCTGGTGGCATGGGCATGTGTGATCTAAACTTGCTTTCTTCCATTGCTGAACCTCTTATGCTGTCTGTATCTTTGGATCTCTGCTCTCTATATTCTGGTCCCTGCTGGTTATCATCTGTACATTTGTAGTCCCCTCTGGATGCTCCATCATCAGAAAATGAATCTTCATCCCCAGTGTAACCAGAACTTTTGTCATTACCCTCCAAAAGATGTGAAATTTGATCCGGTTTGACAAAGATGCCACAATATTTAGTGCACTCAAAGTATTTCACTCCTCCATAAGTTCCATCATGATCGCCTTCCGGTTTGTCAAGTGCCACGCCAGCCCAATAACCTTCATCAAAATGGGTACATCCCTTGAACAGCAGGGTACCTGGCTGGATGTGCTTCACTAATACTCTGTCTCCAACTTCAAATGCTAATAAAGGGTCATCATTGTCTTCCCAAGCTTTGGATAGAGTTAAGAAGGGCTTGCTTCGTTCCTTTACATGTCCTAGCTTTGTAATGGCTTGACCTGAAGAAATGGGAATTGACACACCGAGCGAGACTAGAGGCTGTAATGTTGTCTCATTTCCTGCTGTCACGTGTTCAGATAAGTCCTTCTTTCGGCCTGAAATAACATCTTCACCCCAACAGCATCCAGAGACAGTTCCATCCTGAGCTGAAGAAACATTCAACAGCTCTGGAGACGGCGAGGGCAGTTCTTCAGGCACAGGGCTGTGCCATACTGAGAGTGTCTCGTCCATGTGACCTGACACGACTTCTTTCCGAGAATGGTGTGAATCGCTCATCTCTGAGAATGTCATTTGTTCTGGTGGAGAAGGGAAGTCTTCCGTGCCGAAGCTAGTGTCACCACTTTTTACCCCCCCTCCCTCTTCGGGGGAGGTGGGAAGGTCCTCGCTGGACAATGAGAAATCATTTTTATTAGACCATGGCAAGTCGGCACTTCCGTAGGATAGCACATCATCAACAGGAGACAGTATTTCTGACAAGGCATCGTTATCAATTGGAGGCAGAACCTCATCACTGATAAAGATCATATCATCTGCACTCTCAGCAGGGCAGCACTTTGCTTGTGACAGCTGTTTTTTGGAGGAGATAGAACTAAGTGGCACCATCTCAGACTTCTTGGAGGTTTGGCTTCCCGTTGCCGCGTTATTTTGATTTGGGGCAGCTGCCCTTTGCAAGGTTCGATTGTCACATGAACTGGCTTGAGCTTCTGTAGGAGCCTCTTCAGAACTGGTGGGCATTGATAAGTGCGGAGAAGCAATTTCGTTTGGTTTGTTGGATATGTGTCCTTCAGTTAAAGGTTCTGCATGATTAGTTTTAGCTTCTTCTAAACCTGACACGTCTCTGGAGCCCAACAAAGAGTCTACAGAAAACAATGGCATTTGATCGTTTGTCATGGACATTGTAGGTGGAAGCAATGTACAGTTATTGATCTGCTCAGGAACAACAGCTAGATGCTTCAGGGAACTTTCAGCTGGCAACCACATAAACGCTACTTTATGCGGCCCAACGGATACTTTGAAACTTTCACCCTCCTCTTCCGCTTGGCTAGTTTCAGAAACCGAATTTTGTTGTCCAAAGGTCTCCTCGGTACAAAAGTCATAATGATACGATAAGGAGCTAGTTGATGAATCTGCATCCTGCTCAGATTTTCCCGGAGAGGGGATCTTGTTTACGCTGCAGTTTTCTGGGCAAGGCGGTAATGCTGAAGCTTCCACGTATGACTTACGTCTTCCATCGGCAGGGCTATCAAACCGTAAGGAAAATGGTTCTTCTCTCCCTAAGGCGATTAGTGTTGGCTTTTGGCTGTTTGAGGCAGTGACAGAATGTGATTCATAAGCACGCTCATATTCTGAAACATCTCCAAGGCGTTTTTCAGAGCCATGACAGAGCGATGAGGCCTCACGATTGCAATCATCACGGGGCACTTGTTCATCACATACATCACTGGATAATAACTCATTTCCATCACTTACTGCTCTCTGTGCCTTTGTCAAAGGGTTAGGAAACACATCATCATCATCACCACCACCAGACAGTTCTTGCTGGATGGTAAACTCCTCAGGGATGCTGTTATCGATGGCCTCCGCTTCTAATTCAGAGGCTGAAACGGAGCTTTCTGAGATACTGATCCGAACCGCAGACACTCTATGAAATTCAGGGAGGGAATGGTAGGAGTTTACGCTCTCACATCGCGGAGATGAGTCATGTGATTCAGGGGATGCTGGTCCCTCTGAACACGCTTCCAAAGCAGGCTCGTCATCAGGGAGATCCTCCAGCTGATTGCTCTCGAATTTAATCAACTGATTGTCCTCAGCAGGATTTTTGTCACATGGGGCAAATACTATCACTTCTACTTCTTCTTCTTCTTCAGTGACTGGAACATCTGCCAAAATCAGCCATCATTACCATCATGTCATTTTATTTTAAATGATTACTGTCGAGTAATTGGGCCTTCAAATCTTGCGATCCTTTACTGCTCGGACCTTTGTTCCCTGACTTCAAACGCTCTCAGCCTGGGAGTGTCTGTGGGGAGCCAGCTGCAGGACTGGGGACCTGTTCTTTTTTTGAATTTTATTCTGTTGTTTGCAAGAATCTTTTAAAACTCACAAACAACATTTCTCACCCCCCACTATTGACTTTTTCCATCTGGCAAATACAATTTTTTGTGTGTAATGTATATGTTGTAATTTCCTGTTCAAGCTACACCTACTAGTCACCGTTGTATTTTTCATTTCCAAGTCAATAACACTCACTGTGCAGTCAAGGTATGCACTATTTTGAATATCACATTGTTCATAAATTTAACATAGGCCAGATAACACTGAAGAGCGAAATAATATAACGAGTGAGCAAATACAATAACCTCCAGCATGATGAATCTGAAGGATTTAAATCCAGGACATTCACCACCAAATCACTGACTCCTAGGCTGTGTCTACACTGGGCCACTTAATCCGGAAAATCAGCCGCTTTTCCGGAATAAGCTGTGAGCTGTCTACACTGACCGGAGTGCTGGATTGCTGTGTGGACGCTTGCATTGTTATTTGGGAGTAACGGCTGCTATTCCGAAATAACGCTGCTGTGCAGACGCACCCAGAGAGACAGAGGCACAGCAAGCTTGGAAGGGCCTGAAAAAAGACCAAGGTAGGATGAAATTCATGGAGACAGCAAAACTTAGCTGCTCACCGCAAAGTCCCTGCCTAGACTGAAACCCAAAGGAGAGGAAGGATCTAGGGTCTCTTCTGGTCCATTTGATCAGCTGGTGTGGAAACTCCCTGACACAAGGGGAAGAAGAACCATTGTGTTTAGAGCTAGACCTCCAGGGGGAAAGCCCAGGGAGGCACCCCTGCAGAAGAATAGAAGGACATCCCTGCAGAGCCTGGGAAGGGGTGAAGAGTTCACAAATGAGTGAACCTGGTTAGCAGCAAAGAGTTCTGTTTATCTGAGTCTGGAAGGGCCGAGGCCGAAGATGACTTGACTGGAAGGCTGAGCCTGGTCATGCAAGATCTGGAGCCACTGTTGAGAGGGAGGAGAGTCTGGTATCCCCACATCCAGCCATAAGGGGGCACACCAGCCCTGAGCCAACTCTCCCACCATGGTACACCAACCCACAGACTTTATGGCAAAAAATCATTTGTTTCTTACCGTGCAGTGGAAGGATTTTAGACATCTGGAGGTGTTTTACACCCATGTAAGTGATGTCTGATTCTTGTCTGGAGTCCACATTTGTCCTGAAAATACAGTGACATGCTACGGGGCAAGCTGTAGGAATAAAAGAGTTAACTGGAGACAGAACAATTCATTTACTTGGCTGCCCCTCCTCCTTCTTTGTATCAAGCCCAGCTGGGGAAGGAATTGTGTGGGGAGCATACAGGGAGGAAGCCCAGATGAGATGGAGGCTGTTGGGTGAGAGGGGAGGAACTCTATAGTCCCTTTCTTGATGAGAGAGCGTGAAGGGAGGACGTAGAGAGTGTGTCTACACTCACCGGCGGCCCGTGAGCCTAGGCGAGCTAGGCAACTGCCTAGGGCGCTGCTGGCCCCGGCGCCCGAT